CCACTATGGAAATCAATATGGAGATACCTCAAAGAGCTTGGACTGGAGGTTCCATTTGACCCAGCCAACCCTCTGCTTGATATCTTTCCAAGAGAATTAAAAGAATCATATCACAGAGAAGTATGTGCACCCATGTTTATAGCGGCACAGTTTGTAATAGCTAAATCTTGGAAACAGCCTAATTGCCCATCCGTTGGAAACTGGATAAAGAAGTTGTGGTTTTTCTATAAAATGGAATATTACTCAGCCATAAAGAGTGGGAGAATAGATTCATTCATAGGAAAAATGGATACATATTGAAGATATACTCCTAAGTGAAATAAATAAGTCACACATGTGTAAATACCAAATAGTTTCCCTGGTGTGAATATTCTGCAACAATTCATAAGATTCTAATAAGATTACTGACATTTAGAAATTTGAAGAAAGGAGCTAAAGGTGTAGGGAAGGTGTGATACGTAGGGGAAGAACAAAAAGGGAAAAGAAAAACATGTGAGAGAATGAAAAGATGAAAATAAAGTGTTTGTAGATGGGGAGGGGAGGAGGGGGTGAAGGGAGGGCAGAGGTAAGGGGAAAAAAGGAGAATCAAGACTTGCCATGTAAAGCTACATGATCCCAACAATGAAGGTAACTGTACTGTATCCCTAAAATATACCAATAAACTCAATAAAATTAAAAAAAAAAAAGTAGCAAGAGACCTTAACAGCATCTTTCAGCTCCTTTTAATCTCATCCAGTCTACTGGGATTAGGGCGGTGCCAAACCAATCACATGCCCTTAATCACAGCCTCACACATGCCAGTAGATTTAGCTACGTCAGAAAAAGCCCCACCTACAACTGCATGAGGCTTCAGGGGACATCTAGACATGAGCCATAACAAGCCCTCACCGTGGGCTACAATCCCTTGTTGAGAAATATCTGTCCCTGTTCCAGGACTGCTGTGTACATCCTTGCTCTGCCTTTTTGGTCAGCCTTGATTCCAGCTGGTTCCAGCAGGAACTTCCTCTTGTACCCTAGCTGGGTGTGCACACCACTTCCAGTTGTGTGGGCCCCACTGCCCACAGGATGGGGGACCCAACACTCACTGTTAAAATTGCTCTGGCTCTGAGTCTGCTCTGTGTGGTTCAATGCTCTTACATCCAATGTCCATGGGAGTCACACGACCCTCTCAGTGACCCTGACATCCTCATACCATGCAGTGGGTTGGCATCCCTGGCAAGCACTGAGACCTCCACTGTCCTCACACGATGGGATTCCTACCATAGGTGGGAATAGCTGTCATCTGCTCAACTGTAACTCTTAATGCAACGGCTCGGGGCACACAATGACATAAGAAGGATTGATGAATAGTAGCCAAAGCTCAATCCAAGATTTTCATCAGAACATTTTTGAAGACACTCGAGTTTCATTCCAAATACAATGGTTAGATCAGAATCACATACTGATGCTTTGAAAAGGGTATATATGTTTTAGATTTTGCTGACACTATGAAAACTTATATAACCAGCTGTTTTGAAAACAACTATGTTAACTTTATCAGTTAAATATTAAATGGTAGAAATATTTTCCATTCTAATATATTTCTTCCTTATATATAAATATTTTATGGTGTTTTAGTTAGAGATTAGAAAATTATGTAGAGTTCACTAGTGTTTGTGCTGTAATTTTGTGCATTGATTGGTAATTTATTTCTCATTTTTTGAAATTATTGCACAGAAACTAATGTTCAGAAACTCATTACTTATAGAAAGCAGTTGCCTGATTGTTTATTCAAAGAAGTCAGGAATTTTCGTCTAGGCTTATCATTAGATTGTATTTTGCACTGTAATATTTAGAAGTATCTTTCTATCCTGGTCCAAAGGTCTTTGAACTTGAAAGAAATCATCCACATAACTTTTACATATATTAAAATGATATTGATGTATGGTATAATAAGTACAGTTAATAATAGTCTGTTGCATGCTTAAAATTTGCTGCCAAGAGACTAGTCCTTAAGTATTCCCACAGCAGACACACTTGTGAAGTGATGTCTATGTTAGTGGGCTTGACTGTGACAATTATTTTATTACATATCATTTTGTACACTACCAATTCATAAAATTTTTATCTGTCAGTTATACTTCAATGAAGATGAGGGGGAAAGGGAATTGCCAATACACAAAAATAAAACTGTATTGCATCACAAGCTCAAGGGCTCTAACATCACCATAATCAGAGATCCAGAAAAGGGCAGAAAAATAATGGGACAGAATAACTAGTTGAAGAAACAATGGTCAAAAATTTTGCAAAACTAGCTGGGCATAGTGGCACACACTTATAATCCCACCACTCTGAGAGGCTAAGGCAAAAGGATGACAAGTTCAAGCCCAGCCTGGGCAACTTAGAAACTTAGTGAGACCCTTCCTCAAAATTAATAATACTGATGATGATAACAACAAGAAGAAGGCTGGGTATATCACTCAGTGTATAGCCCTGGGTTCAACCTAGAAAAATAATAATTTTGCAAAATGAATTTTTACTACTTTAGATATTAATCACATACTCAAGATTTTTTATGGAGAAGGATAAACTTCAGACATTGTTAGACAAATGGATGCACCTTAAGACCATACTTTTAAGTGAAATAATTCAGACACATGTTTAAATATTGCATTGTTTTTCTTATATGAGAAACCAAAAGCACACATAAGGACCAAAATGGATGATAGATATTGGGAAGTAGGGAGAAAATGTTCAAATAATAAGGAGAACAAGAGATGAGGGAGGGGCAAGGGGAGGAAGAGAAAAAAATAATTAAGATGTACTATGTACGTGTACCAACTCTGCATGATGAATGTAACCATTGCGTACTCCATACAATGTACTAGTAAAATTTTTTTAATTTAAAAATTTTTATGGAACCCAACCATTTTGGTTATTTTACACATACTTACTGCACATTCCAATAGACCCATTATTAAGGATCTGATGAGAGAAATGAAAATATATATTCTCACAAAAATCTATCCATAATAATCATTGCATTTTTGGAAAGGCAGGCTCTGAGAGATGAAATCAGATTAACATTTATCAAAGTCAGAAGGTGAAGTGGGATACTGACTATCAAGAGACACAAGGGAACTCTGGGGTGATGAAAATATTTTATAACTGGATTGCACTGGTGATTACAAATTGTACACACTGTTCAGTATTCATAGAACTGTACACAACTCACAGGGCATTTCACTGTGTATACACTACATACTTCAATAAACTTGACTTGTAAGAGTACATACTGGTGAGTATTACCAGGATAGAGCTTGTTCTAGAGATACCTGGGTATCTACACATGAGGAAACAACATTTGTCAACAATATTTAAACTGTATTTCCTGAATTGTCTATGTCAGCATTTCAGAGAACTCATGGTGAAAATGTAGACACAGAGAAAATAAAAAAGATAGCAGTTGGGGAAAAGAGATCAAAGGTGTAGTTTTGCTCACTTTCCTGAGGGAGGATCTTCAAGCATGTCGGAATGATGAAGCAAGTGTCACACATTGTCTTATTGACATTGAACCCCTGGTTCCCTCACCTTCAAACTTTGTCCACCTCATCAATGCCTTCCTCCTAAGGATGCTGTTACAACCCATACAGAGCTCCAGAATGGCTAAGAAGCCATAGAATATGCAGGCTGGGAGTGGTGGCTATGCAGCAAGTTTAATATTAGCATCACTGTTACTATTTGACATCAAAAGCTAATTGTGTGAGCTGGGTGTGGTGGCACACACCTATAATCCCAGCACTCAGGAGGCTGAGGCAGGAGGATCACTGTGAGTTCAAGACCAGCCTGGGGTACATAGTGAGTTCCAGGTCAGTCTCAACTACATAGTGAGACCCTGTCTCAAAAACAAAACAAAACAAAAAGCTAATTGTGTGCTGAAATGTGATTTCAGTAACAGAGTAGAAAACACCGAAATGCAGCAACTTGACAGAAGTCTGCAAGACATTTCCTTTCCCACCCTCATTTGAGTTTCATACCCTTCAAAGAGTGATTACCCTGGAAGATATAACAGTGGCAACGTAGAACAGGGCTGCCTGTCGCGTGGGGTCCATGGGCTAACGTCTTTTGGAAGAGCCTGTTTTTGGCAGACTAAAACAACACTGCAGAAAATGAACACCTAGCATCTGACAACCTGAGGAAGGAATGATGATAGGAGCTTCAGAAGCCTGTAGAAGAGGCTTGGCTCATCAGGGAAATGAAGGCACCTTATTTTGAACAGAACTGGATGAAAAACAGATGAGAAGCAGCCACCCACAAGCAGACCCAGTGACACACTGCAGCCATGCACAGACCCATCAGAGGCCACACGGCCCCTAGGACGGAAGTAGGAGGCTTAGGAAACTTCTCTCACGGGTGAGTCTGTGTGGGCTGCAAGGACACTGGGAAGCTCTCAAGGCGGTTCCCATTGTGACATGTGACAGTTTAGGGTAGATTGTATCTGCACAGCCACAACTGTTACTGTGAGAGCACAGAACTCACTTAACCGGTGCTGAGTGGACAATACAGAATGGATTGAAGAGTGGACCCCAACATTTCAGAAAGAGGACAGCAGAAAAGATCGAGTGTGATTTTGTTTTCTATCATATAGCTGATGCTGGTCTAAAACAAGTGCCTTAGACTTATTTTCGGTTTTCCTCCTTGAAATAAATTAACGTCTTATTTGTTTCTGTTAAAGAAAAAGAAAGAAAAAAGAATTGAGCTAGGATACAGCTCAGCATAACATACAGCGTGGGAACATCTCCGAGGATGTGGTGGCCTTTGCAAAAGGATGCCGAAGGCCATTGTGAGCCAGGCCGAGGACAGGACTGGGTGAGCCTGGTCTCCTGAAGCAGCCCAGGGAGAGATCAAAGCAGAAAAGGCACACCCAGGGCTTCCTGAAGGGGTCAGGTGACTCAGAAGATGGAGAGATGACTTTGCATATTTTTACCATTTTCAGTTGCAAGCCAGGCATATTTGTAGCACTTTTGTTGAATTGCGATGTAAATTGAACAAAATCTCCCAGTGGGAAGCCTTTTAAGGAATGGTTTCATCTTTTCATGAGTGAGTTTGAAGTCAGCAATCTAAAAGTGAATAGAGAATCTCGATCTGTTTCTTGAATTTGTATAATCCTCAAAAAAAAAACTCATTTAAAATGTTTTAGAGAGAATGAAAGGCACTCACTGAAATGTCTGGGCCTGTGCTGGAGGAACCAGGGGTCCGGGTGCATCTTAATTTAGGAATGCTAAAGCGAAGAGAATCCGTAGTCACAGGGAAGTCTATGATGAAGGAAAACAACCTCAGGGGAAGCCATGAGGCTGAGCCCCTGGGTCATTGGAGCCATTGTGGAGGATGCCAGTTTTATTAAAAAATATATATACTTACCTTTTACAGTTTTGTTCAAATATCTATAAAGCACAAGGTGGCTGTGATTCAGCTTTTAGACAGTGGATAGTGAGTTCTAGGAAATATGAAATAAGATTCATTTAGAGGACGCCACCCTTGACCTCCCAGCATGGTCCACCCAAACTGAGATTTCAAGGACATGGGAGTACAACTACTCAGCGCAACTGACTGTTCAACTTGCCTCTGTGGCGTGTGGTGTCCCTCCTCCAGCAACCTCCTTGAAAACAATTGGCATTGCCCCCTTAAAATCAGTGCTACCACAAATTCCCCTGAATAAACCAGCTCAACACTCAGCAGCTATCCCTCATCTGCCGACCAGCCCAGGCCTAGGTAACAGGCAGGAAATCTCTAACATAAAGCAGAAACAGCACATTAATATAGGGCCGGATAGTTTTCCAGGAAGTCGAGGGGATCAAGTTACAGGATTGTGCTTGGCTTTGTATTTTTCATAATTGTAGGTGGGAAACATTACAAAACTCACTAAAAGATCTTGCAGGAAAAAATCCTGGTGGCCGAGGGAGTAAGAGCAAAGCATTCCTGGGCCAAGTCCACATCTGAGTCCCTGATGAGCAGAGGAATCAGGTCTTCTGATAAAGGGTCATGTGGGTGACCTTCAGCTAAGAAAGCATTAGAAACATGGGCTTGGGGAGTGGACAGGAAGACTGCACTGCTCCAAGTGCTTTCTCTGAACTGTGTGTCTCATAGGCCAAAACTACTGGCAGCCAGTGGACCTGGAGATAAACCAAGTGCCCTGTTCCTCAAAGGCGATATTTCTCCTGCAAGTTTGTCCAGTGACTCAGCGGATATTTGTATGAAGGACAGCAGTTGTACTCACATGTCACTCTGCAGGCTGCTGACCACCATTGAACAAGTAGCACAGGCATGTGGACTGGGTGCCCAGGGATGTGCCCATCACTCCAGAAAGGAGAAGATGCAAGGGCTCATGGGAAAAGGGGGTAAGGGAGGGGCTGAAGGCAAGGCTCAGAGTGGACAAGAGCATACAGGAAACACTGCAAACCCAGAAGACAGAGGCCATCCAGGTACAGAGCAGTATTGGATGAGAAAGCAACAGGGGCCAATGCTGGCAGACATGTGGTCAGAACTTGGCAGGCGTAGAATGCCAGCTTGAATTTTCTATTTTGAATCAAGCCTCAATGCACACACTGCCATATTTTCTTTTCTTCTTATAGTACACTGTATGGGAAAAAAAGAAAAATCCAAGATAACTACATTATTGATCTGCCTCTCAGGTTCTCTCACTTGGATTGCCTTTAAGAGTCCCTTTGAAACTGTCTTAGTCACTTTCTCTGTCCTGGAACACAATAGCTGACACTCACAATTTAAAAGAAAAGATCTTTATTTTTGCTTCACAGTGTCTAATGAGTTCAGTGCAAAGTCAGATGGCTCCAGAAACAGGGTAGTGGAAGGGCCTGGTGGAGGACAGCTGCTCAGTCCATGGAATCCAGGGAGTAGAGACAGGAGGGAGGAGTTGGGGACAAGAATTCTACCTTCCAGGCCACTCCCCAGGGAGCACCTCCAACCAGACCCTGCCTCCTGATAGCACAGGAAGCTCCTGAACTTATCAATGGGTGAATCCACTAATAAGTAGAGCACACCCTGTTCCAGCACCTGCAGCACACTAGAGACTTTGAGAAGATGTTTTAGATCTAAACCTAGCAGATTCCATTTCAAGGCTCCCAGAACCATGGCAACCTTGTACATTCATGATCACAAAGGCCACATTAAATGACCCACACTACAAAATACAGCATTCTAAGAGACTGTCCTAGGATTGTGGCAGAGATAGGGGCATCGCATATTGTCTATTGCTGTGTGAAAAAGAAATTAGAAGCCAGAATTTACTCATTGTTATGCAGAATGGGGAAGGAGGGAAAACAGTTGGGATTGAAATGCTTAGATATTCAAGACTTAAACACGGACATTTTTGGAGACAGGGCTTCAAGTACATTTCAGATGGAGCTCTGTTTTGATGTTTTCAAAGCTTCCCTTCAAGCTGATCAAGGCAGAGGTATTTGCATATTAGATGTAAAACAACAAACTCCCTCAGCTCCCTGGGAACAGGAGTCCTGGGAAGTGACCTCAGAGCCCTCCCTGGATCTCTTGCTGTGTGTCCTCTTTCTCTCTCTATGAAAGTCACCTTGGGTACAGGCTAGGAGGAGGAGAGGCCCAAGCTCTTTGGAGCCACAAGTAAGGATACTGAATAATTAAGTCATAGGAAACATTCATTCCTGGGTAGTTTTGTTTTTGTAAAGACTTATTTTAAACTCTTTTTTGATGTACATACATACTGTGAGATGATTGCTACAATTTAATTAATTATCATATTCATTACCTCATATAGTCACTTTTTGTTGTTTATCTTACTGGGTATTGGACCCAGGGCTTTGCCCATACTATGTCAGCATTCTACCATGGAGCTACCTCTCTGGCCCTTTTTATTTTATTTTGAGACAGGGTGTCACCAAGTTGGCCAGGCTGGCTTTGAACTTGCAGTCCTCCTCACTCAGCCTCCTGAATTGCTGATATTATAGCAATGAGCTAATATGACCAGTTTAGTTGCTTTGAAAAACAAACGTTTCAAACTTCTGCTAAGTGTTAGTTACTTTTCTCTGATGCTGAGACAAACTATCCAATACCTACAGTTAAAGGTGGAAAGGTTTATTTGGCTTACAGTTCACTGAGGTTTCAGTTCAGAGTTAGCTAGCTCCAAGGCAGGGTGGCAGAGAGGCAACTGTTCACAGTGGTAGAAGATAGCAAAAGAAACAAGGAACCTTAACAGAATCTCTCTGCCCCTTTTTTCCCACCCGTACTACCAGGATTAGGGCAGTGCCAAACTAGTCACTCACATGTAGTGATTTAGTAACCACACACCCTTAATCCCAGCATCATACATTCCAGATTCAGCCACCTCCCCAAAAGATGGCATGAGTTTTGGGGGGAACAGCTAGACATAGCCACAGCATGCGAACTTAGGGCTATGGATCTTCAACAGGTAGTTTGGGAAAGAGACACAGAAGACATTTTCTGCCAATATCAGAAACTAAATAAAGGCAGGGTGGAAAGTTACACCAGCCTCAGGCTTATAGGCAGAAAGAGACTGGAAGATAAGAATAATTAGCCTGAATGAGCCAAGCCTTGGACCCCAATACTAGTTATCCAAGCATCTAACCTGTCCAGGGTAAATCTGGATGCACATCATCCTGATCCTCAGCGCCATCCAAACTCTTTTCTCAGCATGCAGAGCCACCACAATCTACTCTCACACATTCTGTCTCTATGTGGTCACTTCATGGCCTAGGGCTGGTCCCTTGCTAGTCCTGGTAACTGACCTCAATTGGCTTCCCCAAAGCATATTTACACACAGGCACAGCACATGTGTGTGCACACACTCACAGGCACATCTACACACTCATACAGACAGACCACACGTGCATGTACACATATGGGCACAACACAGGTACAGGTGCACATACCCACAGGCACATAGGCATACATACACACATGCACAGCACACACTTGCACATGCACACATATAGGTGCACACACATACATGCATACTCACAGAGATGCACACATAAGCACAGCACACTTATGTGCACATTGCATGTGTACACATTCATAGGTACAGGTGCACACCCATGCACACACAGGCACATGTGAACACACACCTATGCACACCCCAAGCATGCTCTGGGCCTGTTCTTCTGTCTTACTTTCCCCTTTCCTCATGCAGGCCAAGTTAATACCACCTTCTCCCTTTGTCCATTTGCCGTTGCTTTCCCTGGGAGAGCTCTATGAGAGCTTGCATATGGGTCTCCGCTTCCAAACAAACCAACAGGAGAAGGAAGGCATCCAGCCCACATAAGCCCTCAGGTGGGGGACAGTGGCTTTTCTCCCCACTATGTGTCACCTAATGACCCGACTGCCATCCCAACACAGGGGCCCTGGCTCACTTTAGACTTAAGCCCAACCTGCTCACTTCTGCTGTGCTCCTGGTGGCTCATGGCTGTGGGACTTTGACAGAGGATGGCCTGGACCTGGCGCTGGGGAAGAAGACAGGACTCCTAGGGCAGGGAAAACACTTGAAGTTGGAAATAAGCAAGCCCCCAGAACTGTGGAAGTGTTTGAATGTCCCCTGCGTTGACCAAGCAGTGGCCTCCCTTCCAGCTCATCTTCTCCCTGATGGTCAGAATCCTGTTGATGTTTTCTGTCCTGACAGCAGCCCTTGAAGGACAAGCTGAGTGTGGACTGTCATGTCCCATAACGCACAGATAAGCTCTGGGCCCATTAGTCCAAAAGCAGTGTTGTGCTCTGCATGTGGTGATGAGAGTGAATTCATATTCATCCCCTCACAATTACTTTCCACTTGCAAATTAAATCTAAAAGACCAATAAAATGCCTATCACTTCTGAGGGCTGCAGAGTCCCTGCAGCTGAATCCTTGCATTTCGAAAATACTTAACATAATCAAGCTTTGTTGAGAGGGTAGATGGTCATCCGCTCAGGGATGTTTGTCACTCATCTTAAAGTCAAGAGCCAATGACTTTTGTTTTGGCTTCACAAGTCATCCCGTGTGCATAACAGTGGGCCCGCATAACTGAACAATCAGCCCTTTATTCAGCCGTAGGTGTTGACATTACTGATATTTCTCTAGTGTTTAATGATGGCCCACATTCAAGAGGAGAACCAGGGAAAGGTGTGATGCAGGTGAGATCAGGGCTGTGAGCTCACCCCTCTGTGGGAGCGATGGTTGCACAGAGGCTGAGCCAGCCAGAGAAGGTTGAGGGGTTCATCCCCATCTGTTCTCCCTGTCCTTCTCTGTCCCAGACACACATCACACTCTTGGAGATGCTGTTAGGTCTCACAGTGCCCCTCATCATCCCACAGCCAGAGACCCCAGGGTCACCTGCTTCTGTCTCCTTCCTTAATATCCTGCTTTTTTTTCTTTAAATTACTCATTAATACTCTTAACAGGAGATGGCATCCTGCTCCTGAATGTCAATCATGGATGGAGTCATATGTGCTAATTTCATCTCTCTCAGGGGATCCATTTGTAGTGATTTAAGTCTTTCCTGTGCCTTTACAGCTCCATGCTGAGAAGTATGGATGGAATATTAGAGTCCTCAGTACTGTCAGTAAGCCTGGGACAGAAGAGAGAGGTGGTTATGGGCCTGGCATTAAGAAGAAAGGAGAACTTTGCATGATGAAATTGATAGAAAAGAAAAAATGAAGGTACAGAAAAGATGATGAAGGCAAAACCAGGAAAAAAGGTAGAGGCCACAGTGTGCCATCAGAGCCTGTTGGGGAAACCTCAGAGGACCCTCATACATGTACTTCAGCCACCAAAGTGAAGGCTGAATATAACCCATCAAGATCCCTGTCACGACTGAGGGGCCCTCCAGGAGGACAAGTGAATGAAGAAACATGTTCTCTATGTAAGTGTCACTCAATGGGGAGGCCCTGCACTATGTGATATCACAGCCAGTGCCCACAAGACAGGGATGCAGAAAGACACAATACTCCCACAGGAGACAGCTGAGCAGAGATGCTGGGTGCATTGCATTAGCCAGGGTGCCCAAGAGAAAAAAAAAGCAGAGAGAAACTGATAGACGGAAAGACAGACAGACAGACAGACAGAGACAGAGAATCTTTAAGAGGCTTTGTCACTCAAACTGACAGAGGCTGAGAATCGCCACAACCCTTACCTTAGTCAGATAAGACCTTCCTCCACAAATTAAAATATATTTGCTCTCAAGTGCAAACCTATTATAATTAAATATGTTAAAATATTAATCTTGGTAAATTTATCTTATCTTCACACTGCCAAGTGTGGTTTTCACCTAATAAATTATCATATTCTCTTCAACTAATGA